CGTTAAATTTGTAAGGGACTATACAAAAACGCAGTGTTACATTCGTTAACGTGTCTGATACAACATCAAGGATTTTTGCTAACGTGCCTGATACAGGCTCTCGGGTTTGGGGGGTTAACGCAGCCTCCAGTTCTTCCTCGCTCAACCGCCTCCACAGAAGTTCTACCACGCGAACGTGACCGTTTTCAGCGGCGGCTCTGACCATGTCTTGTGGCCGGGCCAATCTGGCATAGAACTCATTGAGCCACCACAGCACCTCCAGATGAGCGTGAGCTGCCGCACCGACGAATGCGGCGGATGAGCAGCCTTCACTTCGAGTATTTTGCAGTCTTTGGAGAATATCGAGTCGCCCTTTGGCAGCAGCGCCGTCCATAGCTCCAACAGTACACGGAAGAACAGCTTCGTAGTCTTTGACCAGTCTATGGAGATCGTTGTAGATAGCACCGTCTAGTGTTCTCGGTAGGAGTAGATCGTTGACGATCTGGAGGACGTGCGGGAGGGGTTCAAACTTGGGTGAAAGCGCCAGCTTTACGCGTAGTAGCAGAGGAAACTCCATTTAGTCTCCGGTTTCAATAGATTGTAGGAGTCGAAGAGCGAACAAGTGATGGTAGAACGCAAAGTGAGTAGCAGTAGCTTGCGTTAGAACAACCCCTGTAGATACTCTTTGAGATAATCATATTTACATTGATTACGGTTTAGCGACGGACATGGAAGGATTAGTCCCAGGCAGATTAAAGTGACGTGGAGAATTGGTAGCCATAGCTTCATTTGACGTGGCCGACATTTAACACTGCTACTGACACACACAAGTACATTCGATACATGTATTGTGAAAGGGCTTCCCCTGTGATTACCTACAGAAAGTAGCTGATAGCACTAGAAATACGGTTTGGATTAAAGTAGAGCGCTTATCAAAACGGTTCGGCAACCTCATACCTCTTCCAGCTGTAAACTTTTTAGATCACGATATTCATTTGTGCAGAACATATTGCTGCGATGCTAGAGAACAGGTAGAATTGAGCGGCAGACACATTGACGATTCCTCGTTTGCATGGCAGAAGAAAAAGAGTTGTTTCTAAGCTGGGGAACTGTAGTGGTGGGCGAACAGAGCAAGCCTAGCCCATTCACCGGGCGATGTCGACGGGCGGACAGCGCCAAGCTGGCAGCAGATAAGAACAATAGGATGTAGATTAAGTAACCACCGAGGCCAACCGAATGGCCGCTGAGATCACTTAGAAACTAACCTAGAACCAACAACAGAGCTTTGGTTTGCCAGGAAGCGCCAGCTTCCTTCGTAGTGTTCGAAACCTACTACAAAGATATCTTTAGTTGCGGGTGGAGCAACATCGACTGAACGAAGAAGAAGCATGACGACTACACCGAAGGGCAGTGACGGGGAGCAGGAGACTTTCTTCCAAGTGAACGAACCGACTGGAAGCAGCCTACTGCAGGGCGACTCGAGAGTGGAGTCTACGACGAGCCACCAGACCGCGCGAGTGTCGCACCCGATTTTCGCTATAGTGAACCCGCCCAAGGTCTCATCCATGGCGCGAGCTGCGCTCGTGAAATGGTTGAAGTTGCGGAAAGAGTACGAAGAGTACACCAAGGATCGCTGCAAAGACGGGAAGGAGGACATTTCTGCGGTGATGAAGAGCGTCAAGAGGTCGTTTGACGCCAGCATTCTGGAGACTCTGTGTGAGGTCTGTTGGGGCGTGGACCAGAGAACCGTGACTGATGAATTTCTTCTGGAGAAGATTCACGAGATTACCGACAGCTTCCAGAACCAGGAGCTACCAGACGTGAAGGAGTTGTTTCGTGAGGAGCTACGGATGAACATGAACAACACGGATATCGACGCCTGAGTGATCGAGTACTTTCATTTGTGCAATTCGTTGATAAAAAAAATGGTTTTTCTGGTTTCTTTGAGAAAGAGCGTGGGGCTAAGGAGAAATGCAAGCTCATAGTCAACTCTCTTCCGAAAGGACTCAAGAACAAGGTCCAGAATGAACAGGACTACCGTGTCCCGGAAGCTAAGAGCAACATCCGGAAACTATACGAGCTCGTCCGTGTCAAGGCTAAGGAACAGGCAATTGAAGAACGGGCCTTACAGAAAGCCAATCCCTCACGCAAGAAAAACGAACGGAAGGAGCAAAAGAGCTCTGGAAATCACCAGAACAAACGACGTGCTGAGCAAAATGAAAATCGAATGGTCAAGAAGGTGAAACAGGAGAAGGATTCGGATCGGAGCCAGCAGAAAGGTGGCCGTTCGGAGCGCTCAGCCACCAAAGGAGCGCCTAAAGAAGGGTGTTTTCATTGTGGTGGAGCCCACTACCTCTCTAAATGCCCAACAGCAACCCCAGCCGAGAAGGAAAAGCTGCTTATTGACCACAAAAAAGACAGTGGAGACTCAAGCAACACAGGGAGGCACCGCTATGCTGAAACGAATTGGGGAATGCTTTCCCCAGCAAGATCGAGTTGTTGTATTGGAAGATGAAGTGGAAATCCCGCTTTGTATTGACAGTGGAGCAGATCGGTGTTGTCTGGATGAGAGCTGTTTTGATCGATTGGTACATGTGAAGCCGGAAATTGTGCGTATCAAGTTGGATGAACCTTTGAATTGCACGATGGCCGACGGAACATCCGTTTGTGTGGATTGGACTGTGAAATTCAACGTGAGGTTGCGAACCATCGCTGGTAATGTTCATGTTGCTGAGCCGGTTGAGTGTCTTATCATTCCCGGTAGCTCCGGCGAATTCCTGCTGGGAAACGACTTGTTGATCAAGCTAGGAATCGACGTTGAGAGGCAGTTGGAGTTATTGGGGGTGCCACTAGCGGCCGACAAGAACGGAGATGAATTTGATGATGCCGATGAACCTGCGATTTGCGATTGGGGATTCAGGGCAGCATGAAGAAGCCGTTAGGGCTGGAATTTTGGAGCTGGTTGAAACAGCAATAGCGGACGGGTTTCCACGGGAATATAAGAAGGAACTCGCCCGTATTGCGCTGCGTTTTGACTTATGGAGGATTGAATTGGGCACAGATCCTCCAGCTAAAGTGCCCCCGATGAAGATTCGCGTAAGTCTGGTGCTAAACCATACAGGTGTAAAGCAAGGAAGTATCCACCGGAAGTCCGTCGCTTTATGGAGGATTTCAACGCTAAACTCGTGGAGTTAGGGTGGGTATATGAAAACCGAGAGAGCAGGTGGGCATGTCCGGCATTACCAGTTCGGAAAGGTGGTGGAGAATTTAGACAGACGGCAGACTACAAACCAATGAAAATACTGGTAGAAGCCATAGTTGGAGTGATGTCTGACCTACAAACAGACTTGGAAGCAGTAAAAGGGGCGAATTGCTTTGGATTGTTTGACTTTATTTAGGGTACTGGCAACTCGCACTTGCGGAAGAATGTCAGGAAATGCTTTCATAGATGACCCACCAGAAGATATATACACCAAGGCGTGTTCCACAAGGATGTAGCGATGCTGCGTTGTTCTTCCAAGCTACGATTGAGAAGTGTCTTGAAGAACTTCTGCACCGCCATCTCCTCATTTGGATCGATGACTTGCTGTTGTTTGCGAACGATGTCCACACGTACCTTACTAAGTTGGAAAGACTATTTGAACTGCTTGATTTCTTCGGATTCAAGTTAAGTGTTAAGAAGCCTAGGCTTTTCAAGCGTGAAGTGCGATGGTGTGGGAAAGTAATTTCGGGTGATGGAGTGCGTCATGATTCGGAACGTGTACGTGCGTTGAAAAACCTCCCATACCCTACCACGGCTGATGAACTGCAACAGTTCCTGTGTGCGACGAACTGGATGCGCGACAGTCTGATAGACTACGCAAGGAAAGGACCACTCCAAGATGTAGTAGATACTGCTCTGACAACTGCTGCTAAAAGGACTAAACGAGTTGCTGCAGGAATTTCTATCAGTTTGACACCTGAACAGCGGATAGTGTATGACGAACTGAAAATATTACTCGAACAGAGCGTGACTTTAACTTTTCCGATAAACTACGCGACGATGTGTGTGATGACCGACGCTAGTGATATCGGTTGGAGTTTGATAGTAACTCAAGTTGCAGATTGGAAGCCACGTGAGCTGGTGCATCGCCAGCAACATCAACTACTGACGTGTTTGAGCGGGACATTTACGGGTTCACAGTGTCATTGGAGTATTATCGAGAAAGAAGCTTACCCCATAATCTGTGCATGCGATAAATTGAGCTATTTACTGGTACGGCCTAGCGGGTTTAAGTTGTTCTGCGACCATAGAAACCTTATCTATGTGTTTGCACCTGGCGTGGAGGTGAAGAAGCACATCCGCGGCAAACTTTTAAGGTGGGCGACGAAAATTGCAGAGTATCGATACGAAATTGAACACATCGATGGGGAACTGAACGTATGGAGTGAAAATGGTCTCTCGTTGGGCTGGTAACCACGTGCAAGAAGCGCACTTACGCCGGATGACACTTCGAGATCGACCTCAAACCTCTTCCTCTGACACTGCACCACCCAAGAAAAGAACTCAGCGACGGCGAAAGCGCCGCGGGCAAGAACACGTACCTACGCTTACGGTACTACCACGACCTATTAGACCTTTGAGCGACCCGGACTTCGTGTGGCCGACCAGAGCTGCCATACTTGACTCCCAAGACAAGTCGACCTGAAGGAGCTATTGGTAGTGATACTGAAGGGTGGTTGGTATATGAAAGCCAAGTTGTGGGTACCCGATGGTGATGAGAACCTAGTATAACGCATACTTGTCGTAGCTCATTGCGGGCCTCAAGGACACCGGGGACGTGACGCTACACTGGAATCGATACGGAGGTTTGTCTACCTGGTCCGCCTTAGAGCGCGGGTGGATAAATTTCTATCGGGTTGCCTTTTGTGTCATCACGTCAAAGGTGGCAAGAAAATTCGAAGACCATGGTATAGGACAAACGAACGGAATAGTGCACTTCATTGGGAGTTTTTGTCATTTGGAGAAATTTTTGCTGGTGACAGTTATCTACTGGTACTTAAAAATGAAGCGACACATTTCTGCGAGCTGACACCATACTCAACTCCGACTAGCACTGTGGCTGTAGAAGCTATCCTTGCATGGCACAGTCGGTATGACATACCGCCATTGTAGATAAGCGACCAGGGGTCGTATTTCAAAAATGCAGTGGTGGCAGAAGTGTGTAGGCGCCTGAAGTCACGGCAAGAGTTTACTGTGGCATATTCGCCGTGGATTAATGGTAGTATTGAGCGTGCCAACCGCGACATTGTGCAGGTGCTACGTGCACTCTGTCTCGAGTACGAGGTGGACACTCACGATTGGACATTTTTTGTGCCTATACTACTAGGAAACCTGAACCACACACCCGTTCCCTCGTTAGGGAACAAAGCTCCAGTAGAATTATTCTGTGGACTACCGCTACCATCTCCTCTGGATTTTTGTGTGGATCCTAAACAACGGAAAATCTTGGAACTGCCCGAACTATCGGAGGAAATCGAGCCGTGGCTGGCAGCCTTGAAGTCTAGTATCCGTGCTATGCACAAACCAAAGATTATGGCGCGAGCTCAACAGACAGAGCGCAACCAGAGACGCAACCAACATACACAGCAACCGAATTTCGATGTGGGAGATTACGTGTTGAGGTCAAGGGTGGACCATAAACACCAAGACAAATTGCTAGTGACATGGATAGGCCCATACCAGATTACACGAGCGGATGTGCATTCTTTCGTGGTTTAGGCACCTAGTGACGGGGGAGGAAACGGATGTTCACACCTCAAGATTGAAGTTCTATGCAGACAGCTCGTTGCACATCACGGAAGAGATTCGCGTGCATGTAGCAGCTCAGGGTCAACTCCTAGCTGTTAACGAACTTTTAGACTACAGATGGAACACAACAAAGAAAGACTACGACATACTAGTGAGCTGGAAAGGTATGGAGCCCATCGAGGACTCATGGGAGTCAGCCAAGTCTCTGGCCA